AGAGCTTGGGAATTGAAGGTGTGTGATTCATTTGAAGATTGCTTTTTGATATTTCATTGAAGCATTTGCATAAATACCATTCAATTCTCATGTATATACATATCTCATACTTAAAGTTCAAATTTTTTACATATATGGGAGCTTGCCTATGCATGAAACACTGGATCTCACTTTTTAAAAGATAAAATAGTGGTATTTTTTATGTGATATGAAAGATTTGGATGGTGTTAAATGTTAGAATAATGCGGAATAAAGTGAAATACTTTGGATACTTTCATTGATGTGAACGAGGGTATAAATAACCATTACAAGAATCCTATAATAGGAAAAATAATAAAAAAGAAATGATATGAAAGGAAAGATATATCACCTGATATATACAATAATTAATTCATATTAATTATTAGGAGATAATAGAAAATAATATAAATTAGAAAAACAAATAATTCCTAATATATGAAAAGAAAATATTTCCTTATATTAAGGAAAAAAATTATTTCTCATAACTATGAATAAATTGTTTCCTATTATAAGTCTTAACAGGAAAGACAATAAATCATGTAATTTAAATTAGATATTTCAACACTCCCCCTCAAGTTGAATATGATTTTCAACTTGAATTTGAAAACATCGGTTGTTGTATGCTGACTAGACATGTAGCATCAATTTGCCAACAAGAAATTACAACAATCCTCAAGCTGTAAGTGCCGAAGCCGAAGGTCCCAAAGCCGAGAATGCTGAAGTCTGAGAGTGTCGAAGTCGGAACGTGGTCGAGGTCTGAGAGTGGCTTGGGGCTAAGCTTAATTTCGAGACATTGATGAACTTGTAAATCACCGTTTGACTGATAATTGCATGAAAGCTGCAAGAAGACTGCATAGAGGTTGCAGGAAAACTGCAAGGAGGTTGCATGGAGGTTGCAGAAAAGCTGCAGAGGGCCAAGGACAGTGCTCAGAAAAGTTGTAGTGCTCGGAGAAGGCTACAATAATACTGCAGGAAAGAACAATGCTTTCCTTGGGAAGAGCTGGCCAAAATCTACAGGGAAAAATTTGTTGAGGTAGATCCGACTGCGAGAAAAGCTGCATGAGGAAGGTTTGACAGCGGGAAATGCTGCAGGGGAGAGAACCGACTGCAGGAGTATGCCCGAAGGTTCAGTCGGCAGCAGATATGTCCGCAGAAAGTTCTGGGGGCAGGAGGGAATTTCACCGGCAGGAATGGCTACAGGAGAAAGTTCCAGTGGTAGGAAAGCCATCACTGGATAGGTCCTACTGTAGGTAGGTGCTTCGACGGTCCTGGAAGGAAATCGGGAGGTCCGACTGCTGGAAGATCCCGCAGGAAGGATCTGCAACTGAAAAAACTGTAGAGAAAACGAACATGGGAGAGCCCGCAAGGAAGCCAGTGCTCTATGCGGTTCTGCGGGGGACAACGATTTCCACCAGAGAGTGAAAACTCAGATTTCAACTGTAGATTTTCCGTGATTTGCACTGGAGAGAAAAAACAAATCCCATTGGCGAACCAAAATTTCTACTAGAAAGAGAAAATAATGTCCGTTATTTGCTGAAAATGCAAGCACGCAGTTGCCCAAATGTCTGCGCAGGGAAAATCCCATGCAATTGCCCAAATGTAGAGAGGTCTCTGGTTTTGATGGCTGCTTGGAGAAGGCCCGGTTGGAAACGCAGCTCCCCCTGATGTTTGGGCAGGGAAAAAAAATACTGCAGGAGAAATGTATGGTTTGTTCGATCCACGACAGTGATATCTTCAACGAGATGATGATGAGGGTGGCGGCATCGCTGGTGCCTGCTGACAATAAATTTGGTGAGCAAGAACATATTCAAGCAGTTACAAGAAGAATCTCCTGTAAAACCTGTAGAATATAACAAGTTTTTGGTGCTATCTCTCGGCACTGGAGCAGCTAAATTTGAAGTGAAGTATGATGCAAAGAATGCAGCTAAGTGGGGTATTCTTCCATGGCTATTTTATAATGGCCATGCGCCTATCATAGATATTTACTCCCGAGGTAGTGCAGACATGACTGATATATTAACATCCATACTTTTCCAAACTCAGCATTCTGAGAAAAATTATGTTCGACTTAAGGATGATGCATTGAGTGGAGATTTAGCTTCTGTGGATGTATCAACAAAGGAGAACCTGGAGGGGTTGATTAAGGTAGGGAATAATCTGTTAAAGAAGCCTGTTTCCAGTATTTGGATCTGAGAGGCCGATCGGATCCCTGGAAGAACAGGCGACAATGACCGCAAGGGAACTTGGAGATGGCGATGAAGGGGATCGAGGTTTCAGAGTGTAAGTCGGTGTTGGTAATGAGGAATAAGTGGAATACAACTCTCGAAGGTAAAGGCTTCATTCAAGTTATCGGAGCCTAGAAAGGAAATTGCTCGGCGTTGGAGTGGTGGAGAGCGACGCCTGGGAACTCGATGTTGGCGTCGAGGCAGATCCGGTCGGAGGTTGAAGCCTTGATGCACCTGGACCATCGGCTGGGGCTACAGAAGAAGCTGACGGAGGCGACGGGGAGTTTGCTTGGGAGAAGAGGACGGAGTTGCAATCTCCTGAGCTTCAGAAGGAGAAGAGGATGGAGTTGCAATCTCCGGAGCTTCAGAAGGAGAAGACGCTGATGATGGAGACCGAATTCCGAAAAATGAGAATTGAAATCACAACGGCTATTGAAGCCATAAATAACAGAAGAA